TAGATCTATGGAGAAGGATCAAGAACAAGCCAAAGAATTACTAACCTGGATACAGAATGCCATATCTTCTGATCAAATAGGTAATTCAGATAAGCTAGAAGTTAAATAGTTTAATAGATTCTTAAAAAGATAATGATTTAATTTCTTATCATTTACGTAAAATAGGGGCTGTATATGCTGTAGTAGTACATGAGGCAAAGAATTTAGCTTATGCTACAGTATGACAATTGCTGAAGAAGCTTTACGCTACAATCCTGACAATAACACTTCACCAGCACAAAATTATGTTGTAATAAATTATCAAAGAAAAAATTAATCTCTAGAGCAAGCAAAACTATTTCAGATCTATAATAAAGACTAATCATGTTTCTTCACTTTTATCATATCTACAATAAAATTTTATTATTATTAGATGATTTAAAGTCAGACTCAGATTTAGATGAAGATAAGAATTTAGATGCAGTATCATTAAAAATTAGTTTTTTTCCAGCTTTGCTTCTTAAAATTTTCTTTTTTTTTTTAGTCTTACATAGTGTACGATTTCTTCGAGAAATATCCAGACTAGATATATTGCTCTCTGAATTATCAGATAGATTCTTGTAGAATGGTATTACTTCATCATAGATTGAAATTCTTCTACTATAAGGATCAATTTTTGTTTCATGCAACCACAGCTATAGCATTCTTAATACAAGATCAGCTTTAGGTTCTTTGCAGACTACAAAATCATTTAAAACTTCATTACTACTAGATACTAATTTATCTTTACTCTTAAATTGAAAAGATAATTTAAGGCTTTCTACAATACCTACAGCACCTTTTATTTGTTTTTTAATATATTTTGGTAAGTTGCTATATTTTATTCCAAGTTTATCGACTAAGCTTTTTCTAATAATGTTTTCATCTGATGATATATCAATTAATGCTTTAATCAAATAAGACTCATAATCCTTTTTATGAATTTTACATTTTACATATGCTATCTTGTAATATAATTTATATTATACACTATATCTTTATCTAAAAAAATAACTAAT